GGCTGAGCCTCTGCAGTCCTGGTCAGCTACTCTTGAATGCCTGTCACCCTGCACCCCAGAAGTCTCAGAAGTGTCTGGGTTTGCAGTTGCCACAGGTCACAGGGGAATCTGTTTGACTGTCACTGCTGGAGAGACCCTGTGGAGATTGAGGCCAGGTGGGCTGAGCCTAGCTCACAATAACTCTGAAGGTTGGTGGTACAACTGGGACCAGGATCTGGAGTTCTGGAACTTTCCCAAGTCCCGTGGTCCCTGAGATGAAGTCCTCCAACATCCCAGTTCACTGCCTTGAAGGTTGAAAGGGGTGAGCAAAGCTGGCTGGTGCCACTGACTAAGGAGCCTATCTTGGATGTTTTTTCTCCCTGGATTTTACATCTTTGAAGCCAACATGAACTCAGAGGGACTAGGTTACTCATCCAAGGTCACACAGCAAGACAAGCATTCCAGAGCTTTGACCTCAGAATCCATGTTGTGGTTTTCAGAAGATTCTGGTTCAGGCTTTTCCAAAGGAAAGGCAGTGTGAGCACAGTCCAACATGGCAGACGGGAAATGTTGTGTCCAGAGGAGGCTCATGGCTCATGGGCAGAGGCTTCCATGGGCCAGAGCCCTGGGGATCTTTGTCATCAGTCCCAGCCTTGAGGGGAGCATCCTGCAGGAACCAGAGGCTTCTGGGTGCCTCAGGCTCTGGGCATGAGGGTCTCGGTTGAATGGCACCTTGTCCTGGGAACACTATATCTGTGGGAGCGCTCCAGGCACCACCCAGAATCTGGAATCTGGCCTCAGTTTGCAGGGTTTGCAGCTCCTCACATTACGTCCTGGGAAGGGGCAATGGGCAGACAAGACAGGACAAGAGGCAGGGGTGGGTAAAGCCACGGGTCGGGGGAGGAGAAATCACAATTAGATTCATTTTATTTATTTATTTATTTATTTATTTATTTATTTATTTATTATTTTGGTATCATTAATGTATAATTACATAAGCAACATTATGGTTACTAGACTCCCCCCGTTATCAAGTCCCCACCACAAACCCCATTACAGTCCCTGTTAAGATTCATTTCTAAGCACAAACTTCTTTTTATTAAGGTATCATTGATATGAAGATTTCACATGAGCAACATTGTGGTTACTACATTCACACATATTATCAAGTCCTCCCATACCCATGCAGTCACTATCCATCAGCGTCGTAAGATGCCACAAAGTCACTACTTTTCCTCTCTGTAAAGCAAACACTTTAAAAAATCAAAGCCAGGATCAGATCTTACCCTCCTTCCTGGAGGACCAGAAAGGCCTTTCATGGCAAACATGACCAGTCCAGGCAATTTCAGTCCCATCAGGGAGAAATCTGATTTACTGGCAGAAGATGGAAAGCTGAAGGCTCCCCTGCTGAACTGGTTCTATCAAGAGCAGAGTCCACTAAAGCTGAGAGGTCTGCGAGGCCACGGTAAGGGGGCCCACCCCTCATGGACTTGCAGGCCCTCGAACCCTGCAGGCTTTCTCCTCCCAGACAGCATGTCTCAAGCAATGTATGTCTCTAGCCACGTTTGAATCTTTTGACAAACCAGTCTCATTTATGGGAGGAATAATCCACAAGGCAAAAAAGCCAAACTGCATCCATTAACCTATTCTTCATAGTTTTGTTTTTAGTAGCAGGAAAAAAAAATTCTGGAAACAATCTGACTATCCTACAGTAGAGAAATGGTTAATCAGTAATGCTAACTCATGATGATGGAAATGTTTAATGGTGATGAAACCCTGTGATTATGAAGACTATGTAGCAGCACAAAGGAAAATGCTTATGATGTAATGTTGATTTAAAAATTTTTTAAGTGAGGTATAATAAAAATAAAACTAGGTAAATATATTTACATAAAAAAGAAATCATAAATGGGATGGTTATTAAGTTATGGTAATTATATTATTCTTTTTTCACCTTCTGTTTCTAAACTATTACTACATGCAAGGTGGTGTGATAGTTAAGGACACAGAATCTGGAGCCTATTATTTGGATTCAAAGCCCAGCTCTACCACTTACTTACTAGCTGTGTGACCTTCCATAAGTTACTTAACCTCTCTGTGCTTTGGGCTCCTCATCTATACAAATGGGAATAGTAATAGTATCTAATTTTTAGGATTATTGTGAGGATTAAATGAATTAACAGATATAAGTGCTGCACAGTAATTACTACATAACCACTAGCTATACAAAGCAATCTTAATTGTCATAATTCATTCATAGCATCATATCTTAATCATAAGTAAGTGCTAATACTGGTGTGGTTTTCTATTTTTTTCTTCCTATTTGAAAGTGTCTTATCTTTCCCTATTGTTAATCATAGTAATAGACACTATAAACTACTCTTTTCTAATAATGTCATGTCATGGCATTTTCCACCAACATTTCTGATGAAGGACCATGATTTCCTGACCATGGCTTCCCCTCAATTCTCTGTTGTCATCCTCAGACCCTAAGACTCTCTGGCTCCTACAATAAATACTGTGGTTGACTAATTGCAAATATGGTCACAGTTCTCCACCTCTCCTTTGCAATATGACTTTGCAGCTTCTCCCACCAAGATATGGGTCTGTTTTCCCGATCATTGAATCTGGGCTGACTTGGTGACTTGCTTTGGCCAATAGAAGGCAGTGGAGAAGAAGGTGGGCCAGTTCTGAGGCCTCAAGAGGCCTTAAGAGGCTTCCACTCACATAGGTGGAAACCTGCAGCCCCATGTGAGTCAGTCTGGGCTAGCCTGGTATGGGATGAGAGACCACATGGAAGAGAGTCCAGCTGCCTAACTGAGCCCATCCTACACGTACAGACGACTGACCTCCAAACGTGAGAGAGCCCCACCAAGTTCAGCAGAACAGCCTATCCAACTCTTGGAAGAATAAATAAACTCAGTCAAGACAGCTGATCTGTCCAACTGTCCTTTATGTAGACTCATGGAAGGTAATAAATGCTTATAGTTTTGGGCCAGTGAAGTTGGGAGCATTTTGTTATGCAGCTATTGCTAAAAGACATAATCCTAAGGAGCAGGACCACTGATCTGAGCCCCTCTGATTGGTCCACTGGGAAGGATGGGCTGGGCACCCTCTCTACCTCCTGCCTTCTGAGATCCAGTGCACTGGGTCCTTGTGTCTACACAGGGACCACCCAAAGTTGCCAAAACCCTTAAGTCATCAGACTTGTGGTCCTCAATGGGTAATCTTTGTCCCTGCAGAATGGGCATCTTTCTGGAGACAGGGACAACACTATGGTGGGGGAGGAATCTCTCTGTGTGCCTTCTACCCCTTGTCTCCCACTGGGGTCAAGTCATTGGCTGGGCTTCAAAGCAGGGAGGGTGGCACAGAGTGCTCAGGCTCCAGGCAGTTGGTGAGATGAAGAGGCTCCAGGTGCCTTCCCACAAGACCTCCCCAGTCTTCCTCAGGAGGATTGTTACTGACAGCTGCAGGACACCTAGAAGGAAGGTGGCCTGACTGAAAGCCGAGGGTCACAGACCTTCCCAGCTGGTGGGGCCCAAACAGCTCTCAGTCCAACCCCAGCCTAAGCCTGATTCCCCTTGAGTGCTAACAGAATCCATAAATTGAATATTCATATCACTGCTATGACAATGCTGCTGAACAGATTGCTACAAACTTTTCAAGTCCTTTAAAGAAAGCCCTTATAGTAAACTGGTAAACATGGTAAATTCAGCAAATTGGCTACTCAGCACATTGATTTTTGATGATGGCTTCATGGAATTGACCCAGAGGTTGGGGCTGCCACTTCCTGTGACCCCCACGGGCCTTGCACAGCACTTACATATTAATCAATGCTCTGGAAAGACACTGGATTTAGGAGTAGCAGTTAGTGGCTTGTGTGCACACAGCTGGTTGTCAGCTCAGGGACATCCTTCAGGCAGCCCTCAGTTATTTTCCCTTTGCAAGGACACTCTTCTATGTTAGTGAACCAGAGTATAGAGGCCAAATTCCCAGAGCCTGGCACACCCACCCACTGCTGTTGACTGCATCGCTGAGTGAACCCAGGGTCAGCTGGAAGCAGGCAGGTGGAACCACCATGCCTGGGTTAGAATGCAACGGCTTCAGTTTTCAGTGTGAAATCACTGACCTCCTGCTTCAGCCACCCTGGCAGGCTCTGGCTTCCTCCATAGCAACAGCAGGGCATGTTTTTACAGGGCACTGTGTGCTAGGCTAATGCCTGGCTTTAGAGTCACCAGCCCGCTGACTCCTCACCATAACCCAGAAAGGTAGTTTCTATTACCTTACCCTTTCATGGATGAGGAGACTGAGGCTTAGCTGAGCTGGGTGACCTGTTCAAGGACACCCAGCTAGCAGGTGGTGGAGTTAAATGTCCAACCCAGATGGTGCCATCCTTCTAGGAAGTCTGTGGCTCCCTTGGATACAAGCATGTATTATTCATAATCGTGCTGCAGGAAACCTGCTATGTACCAAGGAGGCAGTGTGTTATAATGGAAAGAGGTGGAAATATCCAGGTTCCTGGCTCTTTCTCAGTTCTTTCCGAACTTCAGTTTCCCAACCTATAAAATGGTGACATTGCGATCAGCTATGGAAGTATATTTTTCTGATAATATTCCTTTCTCTTAAAAAAAAAAAAAAAAAGTTCCTGTGTGGTGATCTCCAATAGGTTCTTCACAATGGTATAAAGATCATATCAAAGTGTGGGCAAAGGGTTTGTTTGTGTTTTTACAGAGGATCAGAGCCTAATTTGGCTACCCAGAAAACGAATTAAGATA